TCCCCAACGCCATCCAAACTAATCCCTATAACGATAATCATTTTTTAACCGGAGGTCCATTACACTCGAACGTGTTCAGTAGCACGCCAAAACTGTCTGTTACACTGTGGACCGTATATTTTATTCGTTTTAGCATAATATTTTAATGCATGTGTTCCACGACGTTATATTAACATTGTTCTGTATAGCAATCTGGTGCGGACCGGACGCAGTGACTGCATGGTATAGTACAGCTGTACTGTACACCGAGCTGTTGATACAAGTAAAATAATGTTATTATTCAGAGCTCAGCTGTATACAGTACAAAACGGGTACTCCATATTATCATTATTATTATTATTATTATTATAATCATCATCATCATCATCGCTGTCGTATGATGTGTGTGTGTGTGTGTTTGACGGTCATAATACTGCCCAAAAACGTGCCGTAACGGTAACAACATTGTTATTCATATACAATAATATACCGTGTAGACTGTTGTCGACACGACGTGACAATGTTGCCTACACAGGTCGCCCGGGGACAGGACACTTCACATAATTCGCCGGCTTAATGTATGGAAAATCTGGTTTTGTTTTCTGCACACACACACAACCGTAGTAAACGCTGGAATGTGCACGTTACAGTAAACACGGCCGGGGATGAGCGACGTTTAATGTGCGTTCTCATCATTCACGTTGCGACCGTTATTAATAAACCGTACGTCGTGTACTCAAAAACGGAATTTATTGCACACACACACAATACAAAAGATTGCAATAGCCTAATTAAAAAAAAATATAGAAAAAAAAACGGTTAAAAAATATGACGACCCAGATCAACACTTCTGAACGCATAATATTTAAAAATATACAATTAGAAAAAAAAAGGATTTCAATTTTTTTAGAATTATATTTCTGCTTTTTTTAATTTTAATGATAATGTTATGCTTACTGCACGAATTTATTTGTACAAATTGTTTATTTTTCTAATAAAACAAAACATTTTTCTACCCATAAAAAACTACTAAATACCTACAATTATTATCTAACAAATCTTTATAACGTCTTAATGACTTTCGCCTTCGTAATTTTCAAGACGTTACTGTCGCCCACTAGCATTTAAAATTATTTTCTAATAATTATAAGACTATTGTCTTTTTTCATACTATTATTCACAAATAATTTTGTCAGCAATAACAACTATTATATATAGTTACAATATTGTTTGATGTACTCCGGTAGGTACATGTATATTACAGTCCTAAATTTATTGTTGAAAAATAAATGTATATTATTAACCTTTTTACCCAGAACGAATAGGACTTTTTTCTTTAGCTTTTAGGGTAGTTTTTGGAGTGTACGTGTGAAAATGAATACGGATTGACCTTTTTTTCAATTAGTAGTCAAACTTTTTTCATCAAGAAAAAGTAAATTAAACTAAACTCGAAATTGTTTTTGTAGTGACTTTGATCGATAGAATATCATATCATACAGACCTGTGTCGTCCCTATTTTCCAACCACCATGCTGTGTCTCAAAACTGTTGTTTTAGGCCGTCGATATAGCTACTTACTTTTAATTAATTTACTACAACTATTGTTATTTTTATCGACCACTAATGTATAAACCTTGTATTTTACACCGCCACAAAATTCTAAAACAGCTTTTACCACACTTGTGGATATTATGGGCGCTCTTATGGCGATATAAAATGTGCGTTCTGTTCCAATATAATTTGTTACGGTGTTAAATTAAGCCTCTGGGCCGCAGGTACGTTAATCCGCATTTAATTACCGTACTGCGACCGGCCAATTAAATTTATTAATTTCCTCGCAATCCTACATAATCGTTATTGTTGTTGTTATTATTATTATTGTTGTAACATAGTTTGGATTGGTGGCCGATCGGCGGATTTACCGTAGCCCGTAGGTAAACGCCCGCTGCAGTTGCGGTATTAATAATAGGTAATACTATTGTACTGTAACACCAGGTGTAACACCGTCGAATTGTTTTCTTGTAATTGCATAATCTCGCAAAATGACCAATACCGATATTATAGTAATTATACTAATCATATTAATATACATTATATTAACGATAAACAATAAAACGCGCGGCCTCGGCAATGGTAATTTTGTTGTATTGTATTCGTATAGCCATCATTGAAAATAACGCTTTATTATATTTATTAAAAAAGCTACGCCGTATAGTTGGCACATTGTATCGCAATAAAATCAAAAGCGGAATAGCGGTAAATATCGCAACAAGGTTCCAAACGGAAAGAGATTTAAAGAGCTCACAGAAGTCTTTTTCTCTTTTTTATGACTCACAATGAGTGGGAAGCACCGGGGAACGCGAGAAAGGAGATAACCTTTATACAAGTTTCCAAATCCCTGACTCTCGTTAAAAAAGATCAACGCACCTCTATTCTGCTTCGGAGAGAGCGAAATTCGCGAATTTAAGGGTCCAAAACCTTTTTTTTCATACAAAATAAAAAAAGATAAGAAAAAGAGTTTATTCCGAATCTAATCCGGGGAAATTGTTTTCGAAAATACGACTTGTACACTTACAAGTCAATTAACGGCCGTTTTTAATCGCATTACGCTCGTTCGTAAAAAAGAAATGCTCGCAAATAAATGTATAGTAAATTGAATTAGTATTTTTTTTTCTTTTTACGACGGTCGCTTTAATTTTCTATAGGAAAAAAACCTTTTCGGAATAATTTGAATAGGTAATATAATTATATAAAAACGTTCGGAAGAGCGCATTTAAGAAAATAAAAAAAAAGACTTCTCGTCTAATGTAATAATAATAATAATAATAACGATACATACATTGACAAAATAATGGCAATGGTTTTTAAAGTACTCTGCAGTGGACTTTTGTCCACGTTTAACGGTCTCTGTATATTTTTTTTTCATTGCATACCGTATAGTCACCGGATACACCGGCTTCGGGTTTCGTGTTGACCGAGCGCTGCGCCTTTTCAGTGCGAGTACAAAGTTGATAATATATTTTATTGGACAAAAACGAAACTCATATTTTCGCAACACTCGAGCCGTAAGTCGCGTTTATTTATCCGGCGGCGTCCTACGTGCGCGGAACGCCAAAAAAGAATTATATTCTCGGCGCGCACACCTCGGAATGGCAAGTGGAAATATATTTCTAGCCGGAAAAGAATATAACTGTATCGAGATACGACTATTTTTCTTTTCGGTCGCCGCACAGAGAAAATAACAAAAGGCGCCAAATACGAAACCGGCCGGCGCGGCGGTGCCGTTCCAGTGTTGTTTTTCTTGTAATATATCGAAACTCAAAAGACTCGAAACCGTGATTTATTATCGTACAAACCGCATCGCCGCTTTTGGCAAACACACACACACACGCTCAAACTATAGCCGTCTATCTATCCGCATGAACTGTTATTATCACTGAGTAATATACACATGTATAATATGCTCGATAAGACCTAGGAGTTAGGGCCGACTTGGGGCCCGAGTCCCGTTTGCGCTAAGAATAATAATATGTCGTCGTTAAAGTAGGTATAGAGATATACAAGTAAATTATATTTTTCCGCCGGCACACACGGTCTGTAATTTATTATTATAATATACATACGAGTTACATAATATGTCGCACGGCGATAACCGCTTGTCGACGGCAGGAACACGGCGATTAATAACTCTGTAAGCGCGATAAAACAATAATAATTACTTGGGCGGTGAACAATATACATAATTATTTTTAAGTAATCCCGCCGCCGCCGCTTTAAAGCTCCCGGCAATGACGGCCAATTTGTTTTCAATCCAAACGCGACGACGCCGTTATATTAATATTGTAATATTGTTCAACATTAATAATAATTATTATCGTATGCGCATCGCTTTCTCAGTGCGTGTGCTCGCTTTTTAAAAGGAAAATTATTTTACAAAATACACCAACTCGCGTCATTAACGGCCGTGTATACATTCGAACAAAATGTAGCCTTTTTTTAGCACTAAATTTTGGTGGTTTTTTTTTTTTTAAACATTGATTTTATAGGAATTTTTCGCCTGATCCCACTCTGGTTTAACATTTAGATAGTTTTTTTCTTCAAATATACCGTCCTTACAAAAATCTGCCAAAAAAAGGACTTTTTTTTTTAATAATATATTGTCACGCTCCAAAAAAGGATTTTCTTGTTTGATTTGGAAACGGGCTTGCAGAATACATATGGTTATTTTTTTAACCTTAAAGAAAATATGAACATTTTGACTCAAGTAAAAAAAAAAATATATATATGCGTATGCAATATAAATAATTTATTCAACTAGAACATATTGTGTTTTCTATTATAAATGAAATCAATATTTTTATATTTTTCTTTTAGGTTCAAAAATAATATAGCGAGAAAGAAAATACAGAAAATATCATGAAAAAAAATACTTATTCAAAATCATTTCGCAGAATGTTTTTTTAACGTGCATAAGACATTGACAATAGCAGAGTCCCTTAAGGTATTTTCAAAACTTAAGAAAAGATTTTCTTAAAAATGCTGCGCACAATCTAAAGTTTTAGTTCTTGTTATGAAAATTAACTGTACAGCGTAATTATTTTCATTAAAATTAAAAACTGTTTAACCTTATGGGCATTTTATTTTTTTGTAATCCAAGCAAGGAACTACTCACTGTATTACAAATCTACAGTAGCATAATATTAAGTCGTAACAATAATACTCGCAATGTAACAGCTAACATAATAATATAACAATCAATTATGATTTAACGTTATAACTAATAACCAACAGTGATGGACATTGATCCGTACCACAAACAAAAAAAAAAAAAGGTTACTAATTTCAGGTTTGCGCTTAACAGTGCGGGAGCAACGTCCTCGTCTGTTGGTTAGTTTTAAAATAACAATAATTGCACTTGCATGATAATTTTGGAAATCAATCACTTTGTCAATTTCACGTTGATTTAGCCGCATCCGATAACGAATACCACACTCATGTGCCGCGACTTTCTTATTGTTTCAGATGTAACCGACAGCAAGCGGACAAACGGAAATCCAAAAATCATGAAGGGTTTGTCAAAATGCCGAACGCACACGTTCGTGTCGTCTCTACTGCAAGCCGGGGCAATGATTTATTTGATCGGCGGCCATGGCATACCCATCACATCTGGTCAGTAAAAAAAATAACCGACATACACATTTAAATCGACGTGACATATTAATACCGTTTCACAGTAATAGCGGCGTACATTTCTGACAATATTCTGTAGCGTGATGTTCGAGATTCGTTTGTCGTCCCTTCTCTGAACTACAGCGAGAATGGACTGAAAGAACCCTTTTTTTGCGGCTGGCCATTGGAATATTTTTTTAAAATTTCACAAACGACACGAGTGTTGCTGAGAATAAAAAAAAGTACAACGCCGTTTGAAAATAATAATTGAAACCGTTTTTTTCATTTTGCGTCTCTTGTACCCTTTTAAGTATTTTTTGGACTTCTATAAACGCGTTAGGCGAAACTTTCAAAAACATTTCTTCCGCGCGAAATACTTTCTTTTTTTTTTTTTTTTAATATCGCCAAACTCTTTTAAAAATATATACATCGTTAGTATTCTAAAGACGGACAAAACTTGCCAAAAAAAAGTTTACTTTATTTAAGTTGCGAGATCCAAAAACACAAAAAAATGTATAATGAAATTATCTTATTCGGTGGACAAACAATATCGTCGTTGTTGTATCCGAGTTAAATTAAAAACCGTGGACAGAAAACGGTAAATCGTCAAGCAGAAAACCCGTTATTTATCGGTTTCCCTTGAGTTTTACGGAAAGGAGACATTTTTCCGACTTTGGAGTTAACGCATACCGCCAAAACATAATCAAATATTTAATATGCCTTTTTAAATTCGTTTAAAAAGCGCCAATGGAACTCGGCATTATTATTTTACGTTGTCAAGCGGTAATCGTGCTCGTCGGGGGCAAAGTGTTATTTACAAACTTTGCTGTCTCTTGAATAAATATTTAAATCTAAAGATCAGCGTTCTAGCATTGTAAAATTCGTTAGGACGAAAAAGTTTTCTGAATTTATTTACAGCCCGTTTAATGGAAAACGCTCAACGATAAATTAAGCGCGACGCTAAAAGAACAAACTTTGGAAAATTCAAACAATGGGTTTGCCGGAAAAAAATGAAAAAATATCTTTTACACACATTTTCCATTGTCTACCATTGCAAAATATTGTTCACGGCTCAATTGTAGTTTATAATAACGTTGGTTTAAACATGACAAGCACCGAGTCCTTCTTTGGTTTTTAACTATCAAGTATCAGATACGTATGATGAAGTCAATCTAAACTGTTTTAATATTTCATAGAATTGAACACACACAACATGAGGCGTGGTTAAAAATTGCGTGTTGTTAAGAGAAAGCTTAGAAGCCTAACCGGGTCAATGAAGTTCGACTTTTGAACGAAAACTAAAAAAAGATTTGGTAGAGAAAAGAAATAAGAATCGAATGGATTAAGGTATGTTATGAAAAGAACGGGGAAGTAGTGAAAGAAACAAGAATGTAAGGATGTAGATGTGAAGTGATTAGAAAAGGTTGTCTAAAATATTGCTCCGATAACTCAAGAAAAATGTGATAAATTACCAGGAATGAAGATAAAGTAGTAGCGATAATGATGATTTTAAAAGGAAAAACGTGGTAAAGGACATATTTGTGTTAGTGAGGACTTGTGGACTACTACAATTAGTTGGCGGGAAAGACGAAATTCTTAACCTCAGTGTTGTAATCTTTCTTATTTTTCTTGTTAATGACAATTAACATTGTTATATTGGAGTTATACCGTTTGCAAAACAGGTTAATGACATGTTATAGCAACAAACGACATACATATTATATTATATCATATTAATGTTAATATTGTTATGCGTTTTCAGCAAACGGAGCAGGAGACGTTAAAGTGACGTTGCCGTCCAGAAATGAAGCTACAAATCCTTTAAAAGAGCCGACGCCGAGCACCTTACAAGGAGCTTTCATGGTCCAAAACTTGACAGACGCCGGAAACGGCAGTCCAACACCGTCCACAGTAACGGAAGCGAACCCGCAAAAACCGAGCACTACCACAGCCGACCACTCTACCGTTGGACACACCGCGTCAGAAATCGACAAGAACGCAACTAAAGCGACCACGGTGTCCGTTGACCACCGCGACGAAGTATACACGGCGGCCATTGATATCACTAACACACCGAAACTAGTTACAACGGCAAGCGCTACCGTGGATACCGTCGAGCTGGACGCCTCCACCGCCACTACAGACACCGTGGACACCACTACGGTCGAGCCGACCACCGTCGAATCGCGAAGGGTCGACGACGGTACCACCGTGGAGACGCCGCAAAGTGTCGGCGCGACCAAGTCGAACCCGAACTTCGACTTGAACAACAAGAATCTGGCGAAAATGCTGAAGAGTTGGTTTGACATCGAAGACGACGGTGACGTCCACGGAGGATACTACAAACTCACCAAGTACTTGAAGGACGCGACGGCCGCCAAGAGTCCCGGCAAGAATTTGTTCGACCGATGGGACGAGGCCAGTGACGAGCAAGAGCGGCTGCTCGAGGAGGCCATGCGCACTGCCGACCCCGAAAGCTCCGTGCTGGCCGCCGACCAGAACAACCCCAGCCGATGGTTCGTGTTGCTGTTGACGGGCAACTCGACGGTGGCGCAAATGAGGCGTAGCGATTTCGCCAAGTACCTCAAGCTTAACCTGGCCGCCAGGCTGTCGCTGCAATACGACGAGATCAAGATAAACCGCGTATTAGTGGTGCCCCCGCGACTGATGGTCAACGTAAGCGTGGTGCCGGCCGAACAGGCTGAAGACAGCGTTGAAGATGATCCGCTACACAATCTGGTAGAGACCAACGCTACTCTGATGGAACTGTCCGGAGAAGAATATCGGGTCAGTAAAACAATCGGTTAAATTTAATTATATTATACAAAGTTGCAAAATCCCAATTTTAATTTCCATACGATCATCAATGTCTTTTTTACAATTACTGATATATATATATTGTAATTTACACAATTTGTAAGTATACAAAAAGCACCAAACGTTATTTATTACTCAGTCTGACAGTATTGTGCGGAATCGGCTTTACGTGAGATCATTTTTTATAATAAAAATATTAAAAGCTTTTTGTTGTCGGTACATAATTTACATAAACGCCTTAGTCGCACAATAACGAAATACAATTAAAATACAAGATAAAAATTAACGTCGAATAACCAAGACTTTATTTTTATCTTCGGGCAACAATGATACAATACAACTTTACTAAATAATCGACTTGTAGTTAATAAAAATATATTCTTAAGTGTACAATGATGGGCGTTTGCTTTAAAAAAAAAAATAGAACTTTTCAATTTATTTTCCAGACCTCTTTGGTTTGCTATATTGACTTATTTTTTATTATCAAGTCAATTTCGGCTAATCGTTCGTGCGTAGTACGAGCATTGCATTTATGTTGTTATCCATTGTTAAATATTAATTAAAATGTAACCGAAGAATCGCGTGTTTGAATAATGGACATTGTCCGACGCCTCACGGTGTATAAAGAGCACTCGAAACCCATTAAGGAATCCACCAGACTTGTATATATGTACAGGTAGGAAGCGGTATTGGGAACACGTCTTAAGGCTACACGCGACCCGCCCTTTATAACCTCCAGGGTATCAACCTGTCCTCTTGCGCCCCTTATCCCCCTGCCCCGTCCATTCGAAAACGCATTATTTCGACGTGTCACTTTTACCTCTGAAGTCAGGCTTTGTGCCATCGGCAGGCGGGTATAACTTGAAAAGGAAACCCGGCATTTCAGAGTACCCGGTAAATTGGATTAAAGCCAAGAATGGAATAATAAGGTTATTAAAAAAAAAAAAAGAAGGAAAAAAGTTATTTATTGAAATCGCGCGGGCAATTTTTACGGCGAACCGCGCCCTGTACACGGTACACTCTCGACCTCGAAATATTATTTTCATACACAAGTTCGCCTTTCAAAGAGATAGTTAAAGTATATTATTTTACACGGTTTCGATTACGTTGCCAAAACGGTGCCAATGCCGATTACAATGTTAAACGTTAAATAAACAACGATATTATCAAATATTATGATAATATCCAATTCATAAACACACACATGGAAATTGCAAATAATGAGGCGCGCTGGGACACATATAAGACCACAATATTGTATTGATTACTCGGTGAAAACGGAATTCAATATTGTCGATGGCGTTTATTTTAGATTATTATAATGATATAATATCTGTCGCTACAACTAACAAATCAAAATAACAGTTTGTACATTTTTTTTTATGAACGTTATATTTTTATTTAATTTTAATAAAAAAAACAGCAGGTTCGTCTATTGTAATAATATATTACAACGAACATTTACATAAATTTAGAGATTACCGCTACTTGACCCGCGATAGACTAGATATTATTACAGTGTATTGAATAACTTTAGAAATATTCAAGTGGTGGTTACATTTATCAGTAACAACAGTGTACGGTTTTTGGCCGTAAGTCTTGCTGATTAAACCCGAGACAACAATGTTATTACGCTTGTCTAAGCACCTCTGTACGGTGGCCTGACTTCATTTACGAGACTTGATGGCAGTGCAAAGCAAATGTACCGTGAAATCGTTTATTCTTTACCTCCCAAAACGATTTTTGCAAGCCAATGCGGGGTAATTCGCTTGAAATTATGTTGTTTTCCAAAACCGCCCCGTCCCGTACACTTATAGGGCAACTGTTCAGTATTAATATTTTCTCAGCCAACCACTGTTATTGCTATAATAACGACAACTATTATTGGAAAAGTGCATTGTCGAAACGTTCTAAGAGCTATTGTACAAGGAAGATAGACAGCGTGCACTATTATACATACATAGTGCAAGAAGGAGGCTTTGATTTATACACTTTTTTTAAACCGTACGAATAAATTATTGAAGATTTTTAAAAATGAACTAGGTAAATGTCAATATTTTAGTTCACTATTTTTTTCAACCGTACAAGAGGCCGTTACGAGATGTAAAATTCCTGTTTTTCAAACAAGTGCTTAACCCCTTTTTTATCCACACCGAGAAAATATTTAATGGTATTAAAATCACTCGAGCTAGTGCAATGATTTCTCATTCAAATTTTTTTTATGTGTTAAATTTGCATTTGGTCGGCGGTACCTATACTGTTTTCGCATCGCGCTTTTGGTTGAAATCCATCCGTTTAATGAATTCCATTTATATGTATAATACATTCAACAAAAAAAAACCATCTACATAATATGTACATATATATCCGTATAGGTACATTAAATAGAAAATGTTTTGTATTTTACAGCTCTTGAGAATTTTCACTATAGAAGCAGCTTTACATGCGTTAACGCATAAGTGGAAATCCATTAAAAACACACAAGATGTAGAGCGGGGAGGGGGGGGGCTAATAATTGTTTTATCAAACTGATCCGCACATTCTTTAGTTGGATTTTAGAAATTTTAAGCAGTTTTTTTATTGCATTTCTCCTACCTCATAGTATTCGAAACAAACGAAATTCTTCAAATTTTCAAACAACTTTACTGTGTATATACATAGTGTTGCGGTTATGATATAGGCACGTACAAAATAGTTACAACTGGATATTATAAATAAATAACATACATTTTTTTTTTCAACAAAAAAAGTTACTCTGCTTTTAATATTATATTGTTTTAAGGGTGGATTGAATGCGGATTTAATGATGTGATTGACGGGGGCGATGAATGCGATTCGTCCCTGACTGGCTTTATTAGCGCGTTTTAATACATTTCTCGTTCGATTCGAGACACAGAGTGGCTTTATGAAAACTCAGACTCTAATGAGCTGAATAGGGTACATGTATATTGTATATATATATAATATATTGTACTCGAGTATAATCAGAAATTCTCGGTAAAACGTGGCAGGTAACGTCTTATAAGCTTGCCGTCGCCCACGTGGAACACGGGTTGTCTTTACAATTTCCCGACCAAGTAAAACTTATACACATCCATAATATTATAAAGACCGTTTGAGCTTTGGCAACATTGTTCAGCGGTTCAAAGTAAAACTACTGGGGTAGGTACCTATATAGTTACCTGTATTATGTTTTGTGCAAACGAATTTCATTATAAATATTATTTTGTCCACGTCAAAGTATACCTACACAGTACACGACGTCAAGATGTTATTATTAATAAAATACTGAAACATTATAAAAGTTTCGCTACGTTTAATATTATAGAGATACAAACCGTATTAGTACAACAAATAGCTATTAGCGTTTAATTAAAAATATATATATATCCGTATGTTAAAAAAAAAACTGAAATAAACATACAAAGTATAAACGCGACACGCGATATTTTGTTTTGTTTTAATCTGATTGCATTTTATTGGTGTTTTCGTAGCTACCCATAAAAAAGAATGTCGGTCATAATACCCACGCTCTAAAATAAAACAGTCTTGTCCTAGAAAAAGTATTTTTTCAACCTGAAAATATAAGCATTAACGCAATAAATTGAAAACATACATAATATTCTATAAATTATATTTTTACACAAATTACAACTAAGAAACTTCTTAATGAATGAAACAAAACTTTGATAAAAAAAATCCACAAAACGTTTAAAATTAACTTTGATAAAAATTACACACTTAAGAAAAAAAAAAATAGTGTTGCCAATATTTTGTCCTTTAAATAAATTACTGTTCGCGTGAGTCGGACGACTTCAAAAATAAAATGCTTCATTATTTATAATATTTAAATAAAAACGTAATAACCATATCTACTTTTATACAGTCAACAACTTTACCTCACTCAGAAACTAAAACTGTTTATTTTGAAATAGGTATGATAAATGTTTGGCTTTTATGAAAACGCAAATTATATTAGGTAGAGTGAAATAAAATATATTTTCGTAATAAAAAATAATATTATATTAAATTTATGTTACAAACTTTATGACACTATACTTTTTTAACAACATTATCATTATAGTATAGTTGTGCAATATACCTTTGGTATATTTTCTGTAATTTTTTTATTTAGTCAAAGGACAAAAAAAAAATTAATAGGTATCATTATATGCATTAAACATTTCATTGTATTTGTTTTCCAGTAAAATCTAGAAAATATCATTCATGTCCGCTCTTTATCAGTTTAGCTTAACGTTTAATAATTGAGCCAATTATTTTAGTAGGTACCTACTAAAATATATATATTTAACCTACACTTAATTTTCAAGCTGAATTAATGAAAACGGTCATCGGTGACTTGTTTTCAAATGGATAAGAACGCTATAAATAGTTACAATATTGCCTATTTGTAGTTACGTGACGTGTTATCTTATCATATACTGACTTACTTTGTAACACGTGTTACAGGTGGAACGATTCATGTCGCTGAAATCGCATAAGCCGCAATCGTTGGAGGAAAGCAACGCGGTCGTCAGCACCCGGCACAGCGACATAGACTTTTTCATATACTCCACCGTCGGGCCGCTATGCTTCCTCGTCATACTCGGGTTCTTGTTGTTGTCGCTTTACAAGTACGTGCGCAAGCACCCGGTGCAGTGGCCGTGGAAGCGCAAGATCGCTAAGCCGTCGTTCATGTCGCCGTGGTCGGGACAGCGGCACCGCCGGATGGACGAGTGCGCGGCCGACGAGGGTTCTTCCGTCAACGTCATCTACTCCGGCGAGTTCGAGCAGAGCCAACAGCAGCAGCTGTCCGGCTCGTGGCTGGACGACGCCAACTTCGCGCCGGACGACAGCCTGGACCGAATACGCACCCCGGCGCTGCAGCAGCGGCCCGGACCCAAGAACAAGGCGGTCACGGAACTGCTGTGCGAGACCACCGCCGCCGCTCCGGTACACCAAAGCCCCCGACTGAGCAGAGAGAACAAATTGCGCATTCTGGGATGCAAGCATTCGTGTCTGTTGCTTCCGCCGCAACCCGTACAGCAACAACATCAGATCACCGACACGCCGTCGCCGCAATCGCAAAACGACGCCGAACCCTAAGCGGCGGCAGGCATTATGCTTGGCTATATTATTTGAAATTCCTACTATTCCATTTTTACATAAATTATTAATTCTAACATTTTTTTTTAAAATTATTATTATTGTTTACCGTTAGAATTTACATTATTTGTTATAACTACAATGAATGTACAAAAAAAAAAATTATCAATAGTACGATATTCTAATTACGTAACTGGGTTTGAATTTGTAAAAAGAAGCAATTTAAAATTATGCCTTTTGTAACGATATAAGCAATTGTTTTCGAAACAAAACGTTTATATTGTACCATAGCTTAACTTTAAAATGTTTTTAATTGACTTTTTTTTGTGGAAAAAAAAAGGTTCAAAACCAGTTAAGCCTTTACTGCATAATGTTCCATAAATGGAACAATTGTATTTATTGTTTATATGTGCTCATGCTATACATCTTTGTATGCACAATGTTCCATATAATGTTCCAAATTCTTTAATTAGCGTTTTCCATGAAAAAATTATTAAAATTTTTTTAAGTAGTATTAAGTACATTTATAGCATATGGTAAAAAAAAAAAAGTTCATGCAGTGAAGGGTTAAGCCACCGGAATATTGTACTATTAATCATTTATAACAACATTTGCTGTAGTTTTAACAAATAATGTAAATTTTGGCTTGGTAACGTTTTAAATCCTTCGTTAAAGTTTTAAGTGGAAGGAAAGTATAATTAAACTACTGCGAGACATGCGGAGCTTTACAGCGGCTTAATATTAGACACGTGTAATGCCTATTTGATCATATTTGTTTCGGAAAATATTAATAAAAATTCCATTCCGGCGCTCCGGAGTGTCGATATGCATGGCGGAATGCATACATACCAAAACGCTGTGCACGGTGTACTTAATAATTTACGCGACTGGTTAACACGATCGAACGAACACGACTCGTTTGGTTTTGAAATAAAAGTGATTTTTTTGTTTTATTAGTTATTTTTTTTCTGTACTTTCGTAAAAATAATATTATATTCCGTAATTATCAAAATGTTAGGTTATTACTTTGGAGTTTGCTAGAATTTAGTAAAAACACAAAAATATACAAAAAAACACTATGTCTCAGCTTGTCACGCGATTGCGGTCGACTTTCTTCTGCTGTTTGTATTCATCACTTTCCGCCGCAAGTTGCATACTACAACGTTTGGCCAATATCGTCCATTATATGTAGGTAGTTAAGTTATCACTTTTGATAGCAGATCTTATGCTATTTTATCGGTAATGCGTCGCGAAACTTTTGCAAATGCGGTGTATTATCGGGTTTTGTATTGTATAACATTATGTAGGCGTTTGAACTTAAGTGCCAAGCGGCGATTAACTCGCATGGCGTTATTATCACACGATGGCATTGTAACATAGTAATGCTTGACGGGTTAATTTAAAAGCCAACTATAGGCACTGCAATTAAATTAAATAAATTATGTAAAGGTACCTATATGTATTAATTAAACTACATACCTAATAATTAAACACCGCCTAAGAAACCATTATATTTTGTTGCCAGCATTCTACACGAATTGATAACAAATGTTAATAAAAAAACTAAAGTTTCCCATATCAATTTTGTTTTTATTTGACAGCTGATGAAATTTCGTTTGTGATTGAATGAGTATAATTGTTATTGAAAACGAGCACAAGATAATTTTTTATTCGCGAATAAATATCACTAATGCAAAATTCGACTTTACCACTTTTGTTTACCGTTTGGTTCACATTTTAGCATAAACAAAAAAAAAGAATATTTACGTGTTTTAATGTTTAGTAAATAATTAAAAACACATATTATAATTATTTTTTTCTAAAAAAAAATTGCTTAGGTACAAAAAACGTGTTTCTTTACACTAACTAAATATTTCCATTGCGTATAACTTAAAAATATTACATAATATAAACTACTAATCGATTAATTAAAAAAAAATGTATTTTCATATATTTATTGTTAGCAGTTATTATTTGTTGTATTTCTTCAATACCTCAACGACATAGATAAAATATTTTGAGATAATATTCTAAGTAAACGAACGTCATTAAATCAAAATTGTATTATTGAACATTTTTATTGTATTTATTTATAAAAAAAAAACACATAATAGTTAATATAGGTATGCCAGACTAATAAAAAACTGTTTTAACATAATTATTTTAATTAAATTAATGTAAGTATAACGTAATTATTGTTAAAAATAGTTTTCATGTAGTTTATGGATAGAGTAAAAACAATTTTTTTAAAATTTTATTTCTAATACTGTTGTATACTTATGTCTAATAATATGTCATATTTGTCCACATTCATACTATTAGTTACCTGACGTCTTAATATGTCAATATTGCTATAAAACTTTTCTGACGATGTTCTAAGCTACTTGGAGTTTATTTATAAAATTAAGCGTATGGACTACTTGTATTAAAATTTTATTGATATAATATTGTTTTTTTAATGTTTAAAAATATTCTATTAGTTATATTTAAATTATTATTACGGATTTATTACGTGAACAGCCTGGCTATATAACGGTTTTTACATACTTAATAATTAAATGAAAGTTTATGGCCGAAACATTTTTTTTTTCTGTAACCTGTAGTACCTTGTCTATAAGTTTCTTTTACAGTTCATAGCTGATCAATACTAAATTTTCCACAGGAGAGGAGCAAGCACAAATTATATATATTTATAAAAACAAATTAACAGTTTTCTAAATTAAAACTTGTAAACCAACTTGTAGTTAAAGCTGTTAGGGTGCTACAATTGTTTTTATCAAGAAATTAAAAAGGTGATTTTCCTTCTGCAGCTCATAGATAACATAATTTTGTCGCTAGCCAATGTAATCAATTATAGGATTTACACATAGTAATAATTGAGCTTATGACTGATACGAAAAAATGTCTTTAATCTTCAATCATTCCAACATAATAATAAACATTTTGAGAGTAATTTTAAATTTGTTTTGAAAAACTGAACAAAATAATATTTTTTATTCTATAAACTGACACAGTCACTGGGAATTCAGATATTGTCTAAAGCAAAAATGTATTTGGAGGTGTCAGGTAAAATAATTAAAGAAATAAACAAATAATTAACACAAAAATTTATTTGTCGAATCTTTACACACATTTGATTTTATAATTCAATACTTAACATATAATTGTGCCCCTATTATTACTAACAATTTAAATGAATGTAAGTAAAAATAATAAAGACTTTTTTGAACATTAATAAATGGTTTAGATTGATAAAAATAAAATTAACAACAAATAATAAACATCCATTCTTAGTACTTTGTTTTTCAAAACGCGTATGAATATTTTGTAATTAGCTTCCCGTAGCCTGTAAAGTTAAATAAATATTACAAAAACAGAATACAACATATAAATGTATTAATGTTATCAACACAAAAATATGTATTAAGCCCATTTGACCCAGAGAGGAAAATATGATGGTATTGAAAATAATTAATATACACTTCACACGTTATAGTTTTGTCATATCACTCTAATAAGAATAAAAAAAAACTAACCAAAAATACACTGGTCATCAGAATTTCACCAGTGTGGTTTGACGTGAATTAAAGGCCACACACACAAATAAGAGCACTTTTTTTTTGATAAATTATGAGCTATTAATGTAATAATTTTTTCCATACCTATGGTTTATAATTGGTATCATTATTTTTAGAACCCGTTGTTGCCGTATTCGACGTTTTCTTTTTCTTTGTCTGCTTATTTTGTAATTCTTTTTTTTTCTGCAATTGTATTTCATATTTTAATTAAATAATCCAAATAATACATAGATAAGAGGAATTTTAGTCATACTCACTTGCATCGGAATAATGTCCGATGGTATTTTAAATTGTTTTCTGCGAGACATGCTGCTATTCTTTACAGGCATTGCATCATTTAGTTTAGCGTTTTCTTTATTCACTTCAAAACTGCGATTTTTCGATTGTGATGTATTACTACTAGTTTCCTCTTTATACTCCTAATAAATACAATAAATATAAATCCTTGCAAATAGCATATTTTTTTTGACAAAATAAATTAACATTTTTTTTTTAAATACAAATATTTAATTAACTACAGTTAATATTAGAAATATTTGTGTACGAAGAAACTGATTATTTTTTCAGAATATCGGATCACATATTGCAACATACTGTTTGAAATTGAAACTTGTCTAAAATACAAATTTAATTTAGGTGGTACAAGTGTAGCAATTGTCATGTGAATGGGCGTTCATGATAATCTTAGTCCTATGCAATGCAATGAAAGTCACATAAGATTTAGTAACTAATTATTTATTTGATACTTGCACAGCTAGTCTACATGTGATTGACACATTTCCTAAACATTAGTCTTTAAAAAATATCAATCACAAGAACTCTTAAATTCATAACTTCCAAAATTATAATAGTGCCATAATTCATTTTAGTTATTGGCTGCTTAGTTAAAAGATTTAAGGTGTTAATAATGGTTTAAAATAGAAATCTGAAATGCCATTACTGTATAAAACTTAGCTTATCAATTTAATTTACTTTAAGTAACCTTTAAGTACCTTTAATGTTTTAATGGGAAGCTGAAAATAAATTTCAAATAAATAAAACTATTAGTCAATAGTTAGAAATGTCAACTGTTTTTGTTTCTTTAAACAAAATGCATTGACTGCTAAACAGAATGAAATTAAAAAGTCACCGGATTGTAGAATCTAAAAATATTATAGTGATGAAATTATTATGGAAATAATGCATTGATGCAAATTTGTAAATGGTAAAAATGAAACCAATAAATTGGAAAAAACCACAAACTTACATTAAAAACGGTATTATTATGTTTGCCACAATTAATATGAAAAATGCATTATAAATTTACCTCCTTGATTAGATAATTTTTATTGCGATCCATAGTTGAATTTAAATCCATAGACATTTTTAGTTTCTTTGAACTGGACATGCTTTGGTCCAATATTGAGGGAGTGTTTCTTTTGAAAGAAGATTGAAAACTGAAGTCCATCATTGAAAGGTCATGTTCATTAACCTCTACAATACTGACATCATCATCATTCTAAGCATTTAATACATTTAAGGTAAAATACACAACCAAAGTTTTAAAAATATTTATGTTAAGAATTTACGATATTACTTACATCTTCACCATCACTTATCTGAAAATTTTTATAAAATATTAATTATAATACATAAATACATAATTAATAATATATCAGTTAATATATTAAAAAAAAAAATATATATATATATATATTTAATCTCAAAATAAACATTTTACCTCAATTGTTTCAGGATTTTGGCTTTTAGTAGTTTTTGAATCCACTGATTTTGATAACATGCGACGTAGTTTCACCATTTCTTCATAAAGCTGCTTAGCTCTTGTTTTGTATTTCATCTAAAAAAAAGCAATATGTATGTCTATAATTCAACATACTTTATGAAAATCATACAACACATTTTTTATTGGCTCTAAATGTATTAAATTTAACTCTAAAAAAAACGTCTTTATCATATAAAAGAACATTAAATAATGTTTGTTATTTTACTATAACTTAAATAATTATAATATAATATAAACACAACAGAGGGGAAATATATATAATTGTCCTTACATAGCCGGATGATAACTTTTCAATTTGTTTACAACGGTCTTTATTCTCATTCTCCAATTCCATTTTTTCCTTTTCCAATTCACTCTTTTCAGTAACAAAACCTTTGGCTGAATCACGTAACATTTGATGTGATTTACTTAAATCTGTACTCAATACCTAAAACGAATGAAAAATAAAGCAAGTTTTCCGTGTTATACATTTTTTTTTAGATATCTTAATTCTTACATCAATTTTTTTTTGTAATTCTGGAATAATTTGCATGTTATTATTTTTTAATTCTTCTTGCATAGCATCAATCGTTTTATTTGACATATCTATCTTCGCTTTTAAATACATAGATTCTTTTTGAAGTGCTTGTTCATTTGCATTACACTTTTCTAAATCCTTAATGCAATTATTTAATTTTTCCTCTTGAATTTTAAGCAGCTTCAAAAACAATTATAATAAAAAAAATGTAGAAAACAAATTATTTTATATAAATAAAACTAATTTCTATAAAAAAAATACATGACAATTTGTTTTATTATTTATACTCATACATAATATGATACATAATCTATATACATATCCATGAATTTTAACATTAACTTTTCCATCCATAATGAAAAGACAAAAATTGCTTGTGTGGGGGTGAGAGCTGTCATAGATTTTATAGTGTTGTAGGAATCTAGCCAACTTAGTATGCCTAGTAACAAATGTTGACGCTTTATTTTATACCACCACGCCATACACAATGACAGAATACCAATTGTAAAATTTGCCTACATTATTTTTAACAAACTGTAGTTTAATAACAGACTTTTAGTAATAATTAACTATTTAGTACTACACGTCAAATGAATGAAAAATAGAAAAATTATAACTATTAAGTGTCAACGTTATGTGACAGTAGTATAAGGCGTCAAACTTGATATAAAGAAGTGCCCAGTTTGATTCCCGTGGCACTGTGAAACAGATATTGTCTGTCAACACCACACACAAACTGATAATTTAAGAGGTAAAAAATTAAATATTAAATTTAAAAAACATGAACCACAAGTATATAATATTAAAAAAATATATAATACTACTAACTTCATCATAACTTTTACAAATCTCATCAACTTTTTTATCATCATTAAATAACTCATCATTCTTTGATTTCAAGGTATTAATTTCTTCTAGTAATTTTGAGTTGACACATTCTAAATTTTCAGTACGCTCAACCATTGCTGAATTATTTTTCTTTAATTCTTCACACAACTCTTGTGTTACCATTTTGTCTTTGAGCTGCTCTGATTGGTCTTTCGTGATTGCTAATAGATTTTTAAGTTCATTCTCTTTTTCAGACCTGTTTAAAATAGTTATAATAGTTGACAGGATTGTTAATTGATCAAGCGGCTTATTTAATACATCTCTTCTAAGTAGTAAGTCTTTAAACCTGCCGATAATTGTGCTATGGTCAAAACTACTGCAGTCACATTTAGTCACACTGTGACTCAGGTAAGAAATGTACATAGGTCACTCTTTATTTAAGTGTGATCAAAAATCGCACGACTAACGGAGGGTTAATGCTATTCGCTACTTAGAACGGGTAGTTCATATTTGCCGGAGAAAGCATTGAAGTTCTATTTGACTAGCAGACTTCTCAACCAGCAAACTAAATCATTTATGACTTGTGTCACCAGCAACAGTTAGCACTGTCCATTGCCACCTCACCCAATTGTCCTCCTCCGACCTTGTTTACAGAACAATATATACATAAAATAATTACAAGGATTGTTTTAAACCATCAAGTTCATCATTAACTCTTTGAATTTCATTAGTCAAGTCCTTGCATTTTTCTTCAATTGAATTATTCTTCCTAACAAGCAATGTATTATCAGCTTGTTTTTGTTGAAGTTCATTTTCAAAACCTTGTCTATAAAACAAAATAGAATAATAAATTAAAATATTGTAATAAAAGTTACAAATGATTATTCGCCATACATTTTCTTTTCGTAGGATGTCGTCTTTTCTTTAAATACATTTTTAACTTCAATTAATTGATCATACATGTCATTTCTCTAATAAAACAAATACATCATAAGATTTAGCAAGTAACTGAAATGTAAAATGTTTAAAGTGACAATTTCTACCAGGAAAGATTGGTGATCAAGTTTACTTCATTCAAAAGGTTAAAATCAACCAATCGCCACCGAATTGTAATCAGTTTATCTGGATTCTAGACAACTGAAAAAACTGGTACAATTTAAGGAAAATTTTGAATCCACATATGCAATATTCGACAGATATAAGTATTTTAAAACAAACACACACACACGAATAAAATGCCAAGTTGTTCTATTCTTTGGCCTTACGCTTATCCTGGATGAGCAAAAAACTATTTTTCCAGAGAACCATAGCTTCCTCTTTAATATTACCAATTAACAACTTCTTAGGTACAGAAATTTAAGATGCACAGTCACTTACTTAAAAGGTCTAAAGAAATTATAAAGAAGGCTACTCCATTCATGCAGAACAAAACAGAGGAAAAAAAAGATACCCATCTAATCTAAAAATTTAAATTTAATAATTACTTCAGTTTTTATCTTATCCAATTCATTAGCAATATTTTCAAGACTTGATTTATATTTTATTAAATCTTCGGTGTGTTGGATTTCTAAATTTGATAATTCATTTTTAGCTTTCATCTTTTCAACGTTAACTGAAATTTTTTTTTTTATGAAATGTAATTACATACTTATTCTTTAATAACATAACACTTAATATAGAAATGTGTATAAACTAGCATTTTAACATGATACAAAAATCTAACTCTTATTCTTATTCATATTTATATATGATTACATAATTTCAGTTCTAGACCAATTATGGTTGTCATACATAATTCTAAGATGTTTTGTAGAGAAAGCATAGTTCACCATTTTTGGTTATTTTTGTGAGGAATTAATTATGTACAGTCGTTGCCAGATAAATTGGCACAGCGGCGGCATTTATTATTTGTTGTTGTTATTACTATTAATTTTTTTATACATTTTATAAAAATAAACTTTGAACTATGCTTTGACAAGGCATAATAGACAAAAAAAAACATGAAATACAGAGAACCCCTGGCTTTGCGTTTTCACACCACCACATCTGTGCCAAGTTATCTGGCAACGACTGTAGAAAATAGTTTTAAATCTAGAATTTATTGCACTTATAATACCAGATATGCTATTATTGGAATTATTGTTAATCTGTTTTTTGAAAAACTGTCTATTTTTTAAAATTTTATAAATTCTAACTTTTTTAACTAGATAAGTATTTAAAAAAAAATTGTTTTTCTATAAATAATTTATATTTGAAATATAGTTATATTGTGTGTGGGTGTATATATATATATATATTTACACACACACTATACAGGGATTTAGTAATTTTGGAAGTTGAACAAGTATTTACCAATTATTTAACTTAAAAATGAAAAACTTATATACAAACCACATTTTAATGAATCTTCTAAATCCTCTGACACTTTTAATAACTTTTCTTGAAAATTATTTGTAGTTTGAACTACTAAATCAACTATTTCTTTTTGTCTGGATTTAGAATTATCAAGATTTTCTCCTAACTTATTTAAGCGATTACAAATTGAAGTGAAACTCGTGTCCATTTGCTTACAAGTGTCAATTGTAAAAGTGGTCCTGAAAATAAAATAAAATGTAAGTTAGAATTCAGATACTCTTAATTGGTGCTTAACATAACTTTTCCTACTATCAATTAAATATTATTATTATATGTTAAATTATAGCTGAAATAATCAATTTTTTATTTTTAAGAAAATCAGTTCAATACGTTATTGTTTGGTTATAGACATTCTACTGCTAGACAATACTTCCCTATATCGTACAAATTTTAAACTGGAGTAAAACCTAACACATTGATGCAGCTCATCTTGACAGCAGACTAGACCGTAGTTGCCACTTGCCAGGTTATATGAAAATAGTTCAGACCCTGCGTCTCATATTGTAATAAAACACTACAATATTTTTATTGTTTATCCATCACTCAGAGACTAAAATGTGCCCTTGTCTTTTGCCAAAGCAAATCTACACGTGACTGGTCTAATAGTGAAAAGTCATATTTAAATAATAAATGGTGGTTTTGTTTTGTTTTTTAAACATTATTTTGGAAGCATATGAAAAATGTACTTGGGAGTACAAGCATAACTCCCATTTTTGAGTTGTGGGAGACTTGAAACTTTTTTCACAATCAGTCACATTGTCGAGTTTTGTTAAAATTAAATTTTAGAAAAGTTTGTTTTTGATAAAAAAAAACAGGCCATGTATCTTAACAAAAAAACAGAGCATTATGGGTTGTTTAATCTGATAATGCTTGCCTATACTTTTAAAATAAATATACTGAATGCGCTGTTTATTTTATCGAATTAAGGCAGACTTTTTTTTTTACATATTGCTAACATGGTAGAAATTAAAAACTATAACAGTAAAAAATAAATCATACTTTTCTTCTACAGATTTGTAAAACTGTTTAAGTGTAACACTGTTATTTTTAGAGTTCACCATCTGTTTTTTCAATGATTTAATTTTTTCATCCTTTTCTTGTATTGCCTTTTCATACTCATTTATTTTGAATGCCACCACTGTGTTATTCTGCCCATTAAGCATACGGTGAAGATCTAACATTTTTACAGATTCTAATGCATTTTGAGATGTATTGGGTTCTACCATATTTAACTGAGCTGTTGTATCCAAGTTCTAGAAAAACAAAACATAAAACGTACTGAGGTTCTTATTTTTATTTTACATTCATTATTCTTTTATAAATGTATTATAAAATAACAGATATTATAATAATTTAATTATAGGCGTAACTAGGGAGACTAGGCTTATAAAGGTTTTCTGTAAAACCAGAAGCAACCAGTGCTTGTTAGTTACTGGTCATTTATAGTTAATGCTAAGCTTAATGGTTAATGGTTAGCTTTATTCAAAACAGATGAATAAAAATTCTAGCTTTGGGGAAAATTTTGTCTGTTAAACTATTGCCTTAATTATTGATAGGTTAACCTATTTATATTATTAGTAATTTTCAAACTACCTTCTCCATAAAAACGCTTAGAAAAAAAAAAGAAAAAAAAAAGGCGATATTTCATAGAAAAATAAAAAAACACTGGAAAAAACAACTAGTTATAAAAATAGTTGAAATAATTATGTGTAAAAACAAAATAGTTTTCCTTTTTTTTGCCGGGTCCACATTGCTGCACATGTTTGATACTCTATTGAACACATCAAATATCAATGAAACATCCGTAAGGGCATACACATCCACACACAAAAAAACCCATGTAATTGAAAAATGTTTGCAAACTTTTGTGCGTAATGTGGATTCGGCTTTAGAGGAGGTTTCTTAATGTATTCTCTTATTTTAAGGAGGATTTCTGTATACTCGAATACTAGTTATAATAATAAAAAGTGAATTGTAAAAACATACATTAAGACCGGTGGTACAGGTAGTATGGTTTGACCTTGGTACTTTTTCCATACTGTTAATTAGCTTGTATGTTCTTCAATTCCAAAATATTTTATTCTAGATCAAATGGAATAGTGCAACATAGCCAACAAATCTACCTATTAGAAAATTAATAACATATATTTCTATAAAATAACTTGCTATTATTTGAATATAACATATAAGAAGTAATATAATTTGTATTATATTTTATAAATAGAAATTCAATCATTGTGCATTTGACAAATTTAAACAAGTTAACTGCCAAGTGCAAAAAAAAAAAATAGAAAAATAATTTTATGAAAGTGTTAATCCTTTTAGCACGAACCAAAAAAAGTTTTATAGTATTTGCATACTGAACGAAACATATATGTAGTTAAATGTATACACTATACTATAGACCCCAGTTCAAAACTTTCTCCTTAAAGAGAAATAAAAAAAAAATGTCCACCTTGTTAATGTTAACAGGCAAATCAATGTAATGGGTGTTTTTCTTAAATTTGAAGAGAAAGGATAGAACTTCTTTAAAATTCAGTGTCTTAAGAGTAAATTTTTTAATCTATAAGCTGGCCGTGAAGAAATAAGAAGTTATCACTAATCAAGACAGAAAACTATTGAAAAAAAATGTACTTATGGCAAAGATGTGCTATTTAAGTTTAAAAAAAACAATTTTTTTGAATAAAATTTAAATTTTGGAACTAACTAGCAAATTACAATACATAATCAAACAGAAAAATGTAACTTCCATAATTGTTTTTATTATTTTATAAATTATATTAGGGACCTAAGTAGTAACTACCTACATCACTACTTATTTCAAAGTAAAAAATTACCGACAATTAAAATATGCGACCTTTACTACGTGAAATAATGAAAATATGATAAAAAATGTTCAAGGAAATAACTACCGAAAAAGAGATAAGTATAAAATACTGTACTTGGTAAAGCTCGTTAATACAAGTTACGTGTTGCTATGTTATTCTTGAGTTTTGACTTGACAGTTAGAGACCGAAAACAATGCAGTTTTATTTTATTAAGTGTAGATGCCAATATTTGGTGATGCGTATTGTACCTTTGAAAATTGAATAGCTATATTTAAGAGTTAAGACCACATTAAAAATTCGACTAAGGCAGAAGGCTTGAGCAAAATATTGAGCTTTAACTTTTACTATTGACAAAGAAACAAATATGGCGGTTTTAAGTATTGCGATTTGCGTCTGAAAAGGGACAAAACGGAAAAAACAAGCCGAACAGCTGATAAACAGGTTGACCAAATTAATAACAAAAATATTACCTTTGTGTTTGTAATATGTTCACATATTTATACATTGCACATTAAATAATAATTATTATAATATGTATAGAAGAACCAAAATGGCGTTACTGACGTATGTGACTGCGGCGTAAGAAGTAACGCGTTCTGAGAGAAATGAGAATCGAAAGCTCTCGCTGCCCGCTGGGCATAATAATTATTAATTATTAGTAAGTAATATAGTACAGTGTTTTGTTAATATGTTATATTGTAAATAAGTTGTAGTATAGTTTTCTGATTTTTTATAATAAATACATAATTCCTTGGCATATTCTTTTGAACTAATAGTTTAGATAATAGTATTTATTAAATTTATAAAAGTACATGAGTCCCTCGATTTAAGATAATAATTATCGTAAATCGTGAGTCAGTCGATCTGTTGTCATTATTTAATAAGTAATAATTTTAATTACACTTAACAAAAAGCATAAAACAAATATTTTTTTGAAAATTTGGAAAATTAAAAGGAAATTATGTCTCTTCTAAATATATATTTAGGCAAATATTATATTATATTATAATATATTAAAATTTCAAATTGGGTTCTCCGCGAAAACAAAAAAAATAGGTAAAATTTCATAGAAAAGTCGAAAAAAACAGAATATTATCTTATTTTTACACATAATTATTTCAACTAATACGATTACTATGATCGTTTTTCCCCGGTTTTCGACTTTTCTGTTAAATTTCACCTGGTTTTTTGTTTTTATAAAGAAGCCAGTTTGAAGTTTACATATTTTATGTAAAATTATCTTAGCGCTCTGAAAAAAAATATTAGAAAAACCCAACTTTTTAAATTATAAACTCAAATTTAATGACTTTCTGTTACTTGAAAAAAATAAATCAATATTTTTTTCAGAAAACCGAGATTATTTTACATACACTAATTTTTAATACTTTTTTTACGGTGACAAAATAATAAAAAAGACGTGTCAAAAAAAAAAAAACTAAAAATACTTTTAACGACCATGGCCAAAATAATCAAAAAAAAAATTGAGAACATTCTTTTTTATCGTAACAGATATGCAGGGTAATTTTCAAAAATTCCCCGAGGGTTCGTACCTATTTAGCGTTTGACCCACATACAAATACAGCTATAATTTCTAACAAAATCTATTATCTTGTAAGTACTAAAATAGATTATTGTAAAAATCCTAGATAAAATAGAATATTACCAATTATGGTCATGACTCATGTTGTTAATGTTTTTGTTTAAAATACTTTTACAATATAATAATTAGTTATGACGGTGAGAAATTTATCGAGATTTCAACAGCTAATTGCATATCCAATTATCTAAAAATATTTAGAGCTTCAAAACAAGTGCCATTCTAGTTATAGAATGACTATCTACTACCTACCAACTACCTGGACTTAAAATACAAAACTATCAACTATCATTTGCCCAATTATTGTCACTATACACGACATATTACAACTATATTATAAGCAATAAATACTACAACATGAAATTGACTTATTATATTATAACGTATTATTAAAAAATAAAAATTGATATTGTTGAATTATCAATATAGGTATTACAAGCTACAGTTGGAAGTTATAGTGTTATCAAGTACCTGCCCGGACGCTCCATCTAGTAGTATAAGGTCTATGGTGGTTATATGTTTTAATCATTCATAATAAATCTTTTATTATCCATGGTCTTAATAGCAAACAGAAATGATAACATGAAGATTAATGATTACAGATAATTTGTGTGTGGGAATTGAGATATTGTATTATTTGTAAGAATTGTAACTTGACAATATTATTGTCAGTACTCAGTACTTAGTAATTGTGTATGCTATATACTATTATAAAATGTTCTAGGTGTATTTTATGTATAGCTTTTATAGTATGTATACTAATATGTAGTAATTAATAATACCTAACAATTAACTGAAGTATAAACATTTTTATTTTTCTCGAATATATTATAATATATAAAGTTTTTATTCATTTATTCCATAATTATATAGCTTGGATTTCCAATGGCTTGGAGATGTCACGGAGCAGACAATTTTGAGCTTTTGCGGAATTTGAAAAGTAAGTACAAAATTCATAATGATAATACAGATGTGTTGTATTATAACTTTATAATATTTTTATTATTTTAATATTACGAATCCTCATAATAATTGTTATAACATTACTTATGAAACAATGTATGTAGTAGTATGTTATAGAGTTTTTATTACTCAGCTTTTATTGATTCTAAAATTATGATATTTTCATGAAATTCCTTTCCTTAAACACAATCAAGCAATAGTGCTGAAGTTTCAAAAATTCAGGCGGATGATTCCAACTATTATCAGCATAAGATTCCTAATCAGCGTAAAAAAATACTATAAGATCGTAAAAAAAATATCGCAAAAAAAGGGGGGCCTGGTAAAGTGCATTTATGCCAAAATACTTAATGTCATCGTTAGTTATAGTTTTACTACATTAGATTAGATGATCTATCATGATTTTTACATTCTGTAATGATGAAAAAATTCTTTTTATGCTTAGTAAACCTAGAAAAAAGTGATAGTTGGGAACAAGTAATTTTTTAACAATCCTATCCATACCTTAAATCGGCAATTAATTGCATACTGTCAGCCAGAGGTTGAAATAACATTTATGCACGTCAGCACTTACCTATATATTCTTTAGCGAAAGACAATTACATGTTCTTTTTTTTATTTAGTAAACCAAATCATAACAAGTCCCGAGGTTTATAATGCAATGAGAACAGTAGATCGGCAATATTATGTATCTCAAGCACCATACAGGGATGAACCACAGGCTATAGGTTATGGAGCTACTATTAGTGCACCTCATATGGTGAGTAAAGTAATCAACAATATTGTAAATAATATAGTTTCCATATTAAATGAGTATAATATTGTTGGAATACAAAAATGTACTCATGAAATGTTAGTAAAAATATATTTTCTTTTAGCATGCATATGCGTTGGAACTTTTAAAAGAACACCTAAAAAATGGGGAACGAGCTTTGGATGTTGGTTCGGGATCTGGATATTTAACTGCTTGCATGGCATTTATGGTAGGAGAAAATGGTAAAGCCGTAGGAGTTGATCATGTACATGAGCTTATTGAAATAGCTCAAGCAAATATAAAAAAGGGTAACCCAGAGTTACTAAAGCGTATTATTTTAGAACGTAAGTAAAATAGTATAATTTATTATATAACTAAATAAAGTTTTTTTTATGTGTATTCATTTTATTGTGTTTGTTCACTTCTTTTTTATTAGGGGGAGATGGACGATTTGGTGCAAAAAACTATGCACCATATAATGCAATACATGTTGGAGCAGCTTCTCCAGAAATTCCAAAAGCAGTTAAGTGTATAATAAATGTGATGCGGAAAGCAAAAAAGGACCTCTTGTTGGCATTTTTCAAATTTGGGTTAGTGCTATTTTCTGAATCTTGATTGTATAATATTAAGCTGCACTTTGAAGTTTGCAAATAAAAATAATTTGCGAATGTTTTGTTGTTTTTCTCTAAATCAACTTTGCCGACAAGAAGTCCCCTTTTCGCTTTCCAACTCGCATATTCCTTAAGAAATTACATAATTTATTATTATGGTTATAATTTATTTATTTTTGTATTGTTTTTTTCTGACCGGGATAACAATACTGTCTATGTTTTCTTATAAAAAAAGTCTGGTTTTTTTTTTTTATAAAGTGTTTTTAGTTAATAATTCTTTTTTGACTTAACTTTATGTACAATCACAAATTATAGTTTAAAAAAAAACAGGCATTCTATTAGCTTTGATGTGAAGCTGAGAAGGTATTGTATTTACAATGATGTGTTCTATTTATTAATTTGTTTTTTTTGTGTCTAGGCCTATGGTATCTTTTAAACTGCTGAACCGATTTCTTTGTGTAGTAACTCATAAATCAGAAATTGTATCTGAAAAGTACTTTTTTGGGCCAAAAATTAAAAAAAGTCATCTTATTCCCTTAAAAATTGAGTAAATCACTTAAATTTTTTAAAAATATTTTCAACTTAAAATTACGATGCTCTATAACGTTTTTAAAAATAGCCTAATTAGTTCCAAATTTGTATGAAACCAAAAAAATATCATAAACCCTTTTCCCTAGAAGGGATAGACATTTTTTCAAGCAGTTTTAGAGATTTAGGTCTCAAAATTAGACCGAAAGTAGATCTAGAATGAAAATATAACATATACAATTTTCTTAAAAATCTGTAGTCAAACTTTTTTTTTATTAAGAAAAACCCTCCAAAAAAGTGGAAAATTACACTTGACATAGTCAATTTCCAGGTGCTTTGTGTGAGTGAATCAATAGTCAACATGTAATGAAAATATTTTTATTATATTGTTAACTACGATACATGGGTAACTATCGTATCCACCCTAATACTAAAAATTAATTTTTAAGCCCATGATTGTCATTACGTATGATGCTTTTATCAATATTTTTATCTGTGAACACTGGACATCCCTTACTTACTCACTTATTATTACACTACTACTACTACTCACGTAAAATACTTTCTTACTGTGCTTGGTTGGTTTGGACTGTACTGGTTTGTACATACTTTCCACAGATTCGCATCAAAGCATTTATTTATCAGTTATAATAATTCTTGTAGAACTATGACTTTCCTATCCCTACTATGCCCTGAGCCCACTGTACTTGCTTTTTATTTGTTTATTGTTTTTATTGATATTATTATTATTTTAACTTTATAAATGATAATTAATTGTATTAACATATTATTGTTTAGTTGATTGATCAATTAAAACCAGGAGGAAGACTAGTGGTGCCTGTGGGACCTCCTAAAGACACTCAAACCTTGACAGTGGTTGATAAAAATTTAGAAGGAGTAACTTCTTTTGTAAAACTTATGGATGTTGTTTACGTTCCTCTTACTGATGAAAAGACACAATGGACTAAATAAGATGTAGTATGATGTACTAAGTCAATCCTATATATGAATTATATGAACGCAATAAATAATAAATATTGTTATTAAATTTTTATTTTTTATTAAATATAATAAAAAAAGTTATATTATAAATTAAATACTCATTTGAGTATTTAAAGTAATTTGTTATTCTTAGAATAACAGCAATAAGTTAGATTTAATTTTAAACCTATTGTCGGGCCACACCACACTAAACATATTTGAAACAATAGCAAATTATCTACGTACTGAGTATTCTTACTCCAGCCAAGCTGTACAGCAACTTAATAAAAAAAAATATTTCTAAAATAAAAATAATGTATCCATATGTTTTGTAAAACTCATTAAAGCTTAGTATATAAAAAAAAACTTACTCACTAATTTAGAAAACTAGAAGAAGAAAAAACTGTAATAAATAATAATAAAATATTGTATGGCCCTTCCTTAGTCGTTAATTGTAAATCATAGCTTAAAGACAATATTTTATTTTGATTAACTTAAATATTATAAATGAAAATAATTTTATTTTGTGGTAAATTGTTTTTTTTTTTTTTAATTTATATCGATTTACCAAGTTTATAACTTAAAACTGTTAGTCCAATACTAATTGTTTTTCTTTTTTAACATAGGCACAAAGTCACCTTTTATTTTGGGAATGTTTAAGCACCAGTTCGAATGTATAGACTTCAAAACTACAATAGTTGTATATGCAATTATTTGTGTACATATAGACATTTTTTCCATAATAATAATTAACTCAATTATTGAGAAACATCACAACACTTCTGAGATTTACATCAGTGTTTCTTGCTGTTATTTGTATTTTAATTAATTATACATTACAGTTGTATGTTTTTATTTCTTTATTTGAATTGTAATATAAATTATGGGTTCATTGTTATTGATATGATTAATACAAATATTTAATTTATAGTCTTCTAATAATTAACTGTCTTAAAAAAAACTTTTTATTTAAGACAAATTTTAATTTGTAAATTTTCATGTCACACGAACTGTATTATAACACAAAATACCTATATAAATGTCAGGTATTGAACTAGGTGAAAATACTTAAAAATTTGGCTAACAACAGTAAAGTACCCACCGTAAAAGAATAGGAATTTAATGTTTATAGTATTTATAATTTAACGATAGGCGGTAGCGCAATTTTAATTGTTTTATTTACACTACACAATAGTTATAAAAACTTAAAGGGTTATTTTTTCATTTATGTATTTTTAACCATTTGTTTTATCATACTTACCGTTTATTTATCTTTAATATTACAATAATGTTAATTAACTTTTCTTAATCTACTGTCACTATGTTAAACGAACATCAGCTTATTTTAATAGTTGATAAACACTTCATTCTACTCATATTTGTGAGTGGACTGAATATAATAATAAAATCACTCCATTATATTGTGGCTGATAGCCTTTGAATCATGTAAAACTGCCTGTAAATTGTTCTATCTAAATATAATTTGTTTTAATAAGGTGCGCCATGTAAGTGATTAGGAGTATTTTATCGTAAACTACTAACACTGATTTTGAATATTAATTATAATCATTGCTAACTGCCAAGTCGAGACAGTATTCATTTGTGCAGTGATATATTTTCAAAAATGTATGAAATAGAAAATAACAATATGTAAATCACCCAGAAATACAATACTACTTTGTTGGTTAAAATGTTCATTAAATATTTCAATTTATTACATTATTTTTAAATGTCTCTTAATTTTTGTTTAAAAAAAAATTGTTGGTATTTAAAACTTAATTTTTCCCCTAATCTACCGCCTGGACTTTTTCTTAATTAACATAATCGAATTACAATATCAAGGGTGTAATTTTGCTAAATAATTATTCTGTTTTGTGCGGTTGTCGGAATCGGTTTCGAATTGTACGCCCTATGGACATTGCACCATGAGTATGACTGGACTCGTAATGCGTACTGTCCTATGGGCGCCGTAAAGTTGCTTTATCGTAAACGATCGGCAGAGCACACACTCGGGAACGTTTCGGGCGAACCGACCACGTTCCCACCCCGTGGCTCACTCGAACATCCACGTCGATCTGCGTGTGCAGATCTCTGCCTTCGACGGGAGTGTCAGAAGGCAACCCTCCGAAGAAGGGCTACGGTTAGGTTTTGACACACCTAAGACGCCCATAGGGCATCCCCGGCGAGCTGTCTGAAAGCTTGCAACTCAGGCGTTAAGTGCAAGTGTTTGCCCACTCGGACCGGTCTGTTTCACGGAAGGCCGATACTCTACGCGAACAAGGGCACGAACGTTGTAAACCGCGAACCCGACCGGCTGTATAGGGCGGTGGGTCACATTTGAGTCGACCATCGGTTCACCGCATCCAATTGTCACCCGCACCTGAAAATACGTTTTAGAATGGGACGTTCGGTACGGTTGCCAGTTGACCGACAGTGCACCAGCGTCATCTGTCGGGTGAGGGGGCAACACAACTGGTGTCTTCATATTTGATATGTCTGTCACGTACGTCGCTAGAGTGCGATACCAATAGCTTACACTTTATAGTGTTTGAAATTTGAATGGGATTTACTGTTTTGTAAATAATATAATATTATATTGTATTAGTTATGCATTTCCATTTGATATACTATTTGAAGTATATTATTGTTTACTAACTCAATAGCCTAGCCTTACTTACTCATAAATGTGCCATTTTAAAGTAGGTATAAACTTTAGGAATCTTATTGTTAACAGCATATATTATTTTAGTTTTTACTTACTTCACAAAAGTGTATTTTTCCGTTAATTTCTATTGCGGACGTTATACATATTTATAGAACAACCGTATACACCTACAATATCAAGGTCAAACAAATAAAAAATAGCCCGGTTTGGTACCTATTCATTTTTCATCATTATTGTTAATAATAATTGAAAATTATATAGTTTACCTATCTGCTTAATAGTTTGATCTTCATCGTACAACACAAACGAAATCATTAATAAAATTAACAATAAGCCTTCTTTATATCAGTTTTATAGCTAGACAATGTCTTGTTAGAGAATGAAGTATAGTCTGCAAAAATAGTTCAACTATTTTTTTTTTCAATGGTGTGCATGTATTAAGCATACGTTAATACGTCACCGCAATAACCTCAAATTAATGTTGTTGACAGATGTCCAATTCGGCCAGACGAAATAGTATGATTTCTCAATGCAAACAAAAACAAAATAACTTTCGTATTAGGTACCCATATATATTTTTTTAATATTAGATCAGTGGCTCAAGCGCCGATGGCCAATTTCAGCAGCACTACCGTAAAATTCTACAAGTAGTAGAGTGATTACTGTTTTGTATTTTTATAATAAGTTGAATTATACAATGACAAGCATTTTTTATTGTTGCTAATACATAATATTAAAGGACATTCAAGTGCTTATTTGACAATGCCCGATTTGATTGCCCGTACCGTTCCACGTCTTTCCAGTTTTCTGTGTTCAAAAAATATCACCTTAAACCCAACTTACTGCTGATAGGTATGGCTCGTAATATACCATTCGGAAAGTCCTTAACCTCGTTCCCGATAATATCACTGTAGTGAAATCAAAGTGTACTTGTCGTTAATGAAAACACCTAATCTAATGCGTCGCTAGGCGGATAAACGAACGATTTATTTGCAAATACGGTTGTTGTGTTATATTTTTGAAATAGAAAAGCACATTCTGATAAACTTTGGTCGCTTTGAATATGTTGAACCAACTTGATAAGTATGCCGTTGAGCGTTTGCGTAGTCTAAATGGTTTCTTCGCCTACCAAGTAAGTCAAATGACCAAATAAATCAACTTAAATATAACTGACAGATAGTGTAGTACAGATTTAAGCAGGTAAGAGAGCTGAAATGTGTCACTTAATTTGTTTTATAAAAAGCAGTCAAACAATGAATTTTCGTAAACATTATATTATGTGTATTTTTAAATAATAAATTGCTCCTCAAAGTATTAATTTAAACAAAACTGTTCAACATAACGTATTAGAGCAAAACCAGTTGACATTTTATAGTGAATACCTAAGTCATATTTATTTAATTATTATTCAGTATAAATATTTATATGTACGAGTATATATATACATACAAAATGATATATAATACAAGTGGTCTAGATCAGTGTTTCTCAACCTGGGTGTCACCAACTTATTATTTAGGGTCGCCATTAGGTATATGATTTAAACCAATACGAAAATTTAGAATTTCAACAATAAATTAATATATAATTTAAATAATCTATGTGTGTACAAAAAAATATATTTAGGGGTCGCTACAAAATTGAATATCCAATTTGGGGGGTCACCACTGTAAAAGCGTTGAGAAACACTGGTCTAGATGTCGTGACATATTCAATTGAAAGGCTTAATAACGTAAACAAAACAAATAATATTATAATTTTAATATTAAGTAGTACTATGGGCTATGGCATAATAATATTATTACAAAGACGCGGCTTCAACTATCCAATAATTCTAAATTATAATGTAGGTTGTTACCACAAATATGATTGTTGTCTAAATACTTGGCTAAAATAATGATTCCAATCATTGCACACCCAATGACGATAATACATATTGATTTGTTCAATTTTGTTTCAGTACCGTTCGGGCAGTAAGTCTTTTTGGCGACTTGCAACATCGAGCTTGGTTTAACGTATGTACATGGACAAAAACTTGCCAGAAGACGAACCAATAGTATAAAAAGCGACGAATATTGCTGGCAGGGTTTTCACGAGGCGGTGCATTAGCATTATAAAGCGGTCTTACCTACCAAAACCGTTCTAGACCAAAAACGGTTCTATACAAAACCGTTAGCTGGCACATTCTCCATGTGTTCGTGGTTATTGTTACACAAACGATTTCCCGAAGTAAATAAATACAATTTGAATTTACAATGTATAGTGTTAGTAAGACTTAATTACAATCACTTAAGTAAATAGCGATGCTTAAACAGTGAAAATATTATCCCTCCTCATAATACTTATGATATGGACCACAAACTGTTTTGGGGTTGCTAAGCACATCCAAACCCCTCTCCTCCCCCCTCCACAAATTTCGTCTACACTTATCTGATAATTAACTGCTAACATTTCTGTGGTCGTGGATACCTCTAACGTTAAAATGATTCTGAAAACATTTTTTATCACGAACATAGTCCTATAATTTAGTAATTTAATTATTAATTATTATTGCGCCAACAATATTAATATTGCTGTTACATCCAAATAAGTGTTATTCGCCTAGCCAAGACATTTGGGGGCACAAGTTTGTGGAAATAGAACTATAACATCAGCCGTACCTATATTAATTTTTAACAGATGAATCTAATGTTAAAATAATCTTTTCGGCAATTATTTTTTTATGGTATTAAATTAGACCAAATAATATTTTAGGAAATAACGCATCTACCAATTTTACAATTTCAAGGCAAAGTGATCCAATCATTCATACAGATGGGGTGAAATAATTGCTTATGCAATTTTAATAAAAACATTTTTGAACATTACATTACAACCGTATCGATTATACCACGGATATAATGATCAAGTAATAAATAAAATAAAAATTTACACTTGTGTAACATTTTTTATTTGTACATGTGCCCATGTAGAATATGATATGTGTTTTGCGTTGTATGCGTTTAAGTAAATATTCTATTCTATTTTCACTGCATGGTAATGGTCGCTTTATGTATTTTGTTTCACTTATGTTTTCAAGAACTTTTCAGTTTTAGACTGCGTTCTTCCACAGTCACACCAAGAATGACTTCTTGTAATTGTTAAATTAAGACGATCATATCCTAATCGTCTAATCGACAACCCATTTAAATTTGTTAGGTATTTATTTATTTAATTGGTAAAATACTAATTAAGATACATCATGCTTTTATTTTAAAAATCCGTTATCGCCGTTAAAAATTACACATTAACATTTGTTGTTAAGTTTATTACTATTTTAAAGACATGTATAATTCATAATATTTTAGTCTTATTTGATATGTCTAGTATTTAAAAATAAAATAAAAACTTACAATATTATTTAATCATTGTCAAAACTATAACTAATATGGACAATGGACTTAGTAGGCTTACTGACCGTGACCGCTTACCGCTATAGAAGCTACACTCTACAGTGACTTAACTGAGTTGCCATCTTGAATAATAATGCATTTACCAACACAATCGAAATCCAGTAAGGCAATGTACCTAACATAAACAACGCAATATCATTTAAAATATAAATAGAAGAACATTTCTTTGGTAATTGGAAAGTTCTGTTGAAACACCTTTATAGTTACATAAGTGTTCTTATTAATTAATGTACAATATTATTATATATATACTTAATATTATTGAAGATACTAAGTATCAATAAGAAGAATAGCATTTCGGTTGGCAAACATTTCTGATTCAATTTATATTTAACTTTAAAAAAACATACATTATTATTAATTTACTAAAACAGTTTTTATACCCAAGAATTGAAATTAAAAAAAAATAACATTGGCAATATAACGAAAAAGTTGCTTGTTTTGATATTAACAATTCACGGTCTGTGAATCTGTTTTTTTTTTGTATAATTTATTAAGAATGTAGATATATTGAAAAATAATAGATACTATAAATTATATTCACGGGAGTTTTTTTTTGTGTTTAATTCAACGTATTCTATGTTATCATGCAAAATGCAATGTCACTGTTGAAAAAAACCAAGGCATTTTTTAAAATGTATGTTCTTAAATGTTATTATTAAAATTAAGTCCTATAAATTATCATTAACCTGATGTAAACGGGTAAGCCGTACTTAAACCATCAAGTTTTGTACAAATACCATAAAAGCTTAACAGTGAGACAATTAGCGAGTATAATGCAAAGCTATAAGTATAATATCGAGTGCGAATTTCGATTTCTACGATGACTGGCGTTTAAGAAAATGATCTTGATTTTTCACAGCGCGTGCGAGTTATTTGTTTATTTTTTGTTGCTATTTTGAAACGTCTAGTTTTTTTTTTTTGCGGTTTTTCTTAAGCATTTTACTTGGATTATAGTTTCGATTTGACGTGGTGGATCGCCGACCCCGCGACAATAATTATTATTGTCCATTCGTCTCGCGTGACTGCTAGGTCGTTTTACCCGTTGACAACCGAGTTAAATTCTCCGCAGAGGTCGACCGTCAGATGACCAAGGACCGGGTGTAATTTATTTATACACCGTCGTTATAACATCATAACAGTGCCTAATAATATTGTTATTAACAATTATTACAATGAAGTCGCATCGTCGTCAAAGCAGTCGTTCGGTCGGATGTCTTGTTGCAAAATCCCGCCGCCGTTGACCATCAAGGACCGCAAAGTGAATACTAATAAAAAAAAAAATAATAAAGAAGGTAAAAAAAAAAACGAATAAAAAACTCCGGTTACCCGCTCTCGTGGGAGATGGAAATCATTATGATTCGATTGTTACTATTATATTTTGGCACCGGAGCGGCTTGTGTGTGTATGTGAAGTAACTGGGACACGGTGGACACTGTACCTACGCGGAATGACAATTGGACGTTACACGGTCGAATTTGACCATATAAAACGACCGGACGGCCACAAGTCCACCATCAGTCCACCATCAATCGACTTCAGCGACTACTCCGAGCAGTTTACTCATTCCAAGACGACCCAAAGCCAATCGAATCAAAAAATAAAATGAAATTCCAGGTAAGGCCACCGTTGTAATATGATGACGTTTCTCGCGTCTTAGCACTTAATCGGTCACTTCAGCCCGTTATAATTATGTTGACGCTATATGAGCTTTCGAATGGCGAACGTCTTGTGAACTACGAAACTGAAAAGCTCACCGCAAGCCACTTCATCCAGACTTCGGTTATAGTTGTCCCGATTTTCATAGCGATTAATCTATACATTATCCTTATTCCTCCCGGGACATCGCGATTTGCAGTGATTTAAACTCGACTTGTATATTATATCTACTCAATCTCGCACAGTACCGCGTGTTAACCCGTATTTAACATCTATCCTATTAACTGACGGACAGATTTTTCAACGCTCCTCGTCCATGTTTTATCAGAATACGCACATGTTTCAAAATTACCCCGAATGGTTTAATAAAAACTTTAGTTTTGTCACTCTCGTTCGACGTTTACTATACTATTATATTCTTCTTTCTTTACGATCCGTCCTTGAGTAGATGTCTACGACTAGAACTAATAAAATATGGTTGTAGAACTATTAAAATATACTATTGTTTTAAACTTGTGTAATGATAGATGTATGTTTTATAGGGATCTTTAGCTTTGCTCGCCATCGCCATGTGCTTGGTCTCGGCCTACGCAGCGGAACAACCGAAACCTGCTTCCCAAGCGACACAAGCGGCACCATCGGACCGTAGCAAAAGAGGTCTATACGCATCGCCATACTACGGCTCATACTATGGTTCTCCATACGTAGCATCGCCGTATGCGGCCCCGTATGCTGCCCCGTACGCTGCCCCGTACACTGCTCCGTACGTGGCTTCTCCTTACGTCTCCCCATACGTCGCTTCCCCGTACGTCGCCGCCCCTTACGTATCGCCGTACGCCGCTTACCCTTACGGATACTACCGATGAATTGCAGTACACAAGCCGTACTGAGTACCTGCTGACCAATGACCAATCGACTTACTAAAAATCCAAGAACGACAACACGGGAACAACCCTAATGAACATTTTGTAAAACCATAAATGTTAACAAATACTTTTACTATTATTATATTTACCTTGTAGAAAACTGTACACAATAAAAACAATTTTATAATCAATCAATTAGTATTTGATATTACCATCGAGCATTTAAACCCATATTATGCACACGCATATTGTTATAATTTAAACTTATTTTAATCATATTTAAGTTTTAATTAGAATTTTGCAGTACATGCACTAGTGGAGTCTTGAACTACAAAGGGATATTCTAATACTACCGAATAGTGGCTGAAGATTATAGATATATATAGGTAATATTCGTGTGCGATGTACTTACATTAGATTAGATGCCCTATAGAAATTACTTTTATAATTTTTCCATTTTGTATACTGTCGGTAATAGACAATCCAACGATTAAAGAATTATGCAATACAAGTATCATAGACTTTATTTTATATTGCAAAGAACGTTCTAGTCTGTAACAACTAAATAAATATATAGTTTTAAAGGTCGATAAAGCTCCAGAAAATTCCAAAAAAAAAAAAGATAAAAATTTAAATAATGTTCAACAATTATTTTGAGAGTGAACTAATGCAGGACTCACCCGATAAAATAATAAATTAACATTTTCCTCCAATATACCTACATAGTTATAAGGAATTGGTGTAAAATAAAGTTTTATAAAATAAAACACAATTTTTTTCTTACAATTTAAGCGGTTTTTTCTTTTTATGCGCAATTTTAGAACTTATGAGTTGGAAATTAGTCTTAGAAGATAGGTCTAACATATACGAATACGGCACTCAAAAAAAGTAAAAGTAACACATATGTTATTTAAAAAAAACATTCTATATATTTTTATATGCTGGCCAATACTACTAATATAAGTACATGTGTATTAAAACGGCTTGTTTATATCGTAACTGTTATTATTGATGTTAATATTACATTTGTTTCACCGCACAATTTCAGTGTAAAACAACATACTTCTCCAAACCGTTTTGCTAATTTTTCCTGTTTCAAAGGATTTCTTACAACTAGTACAATATGTTTAAACTATATTCTACGGTTTTTGTGTTGATGGTCGTTGTGTTGATTGGAACAACGCGCCAGTCAGCACTTTATAAAGTCATTTGGAATTTGACGATGGACAGCCGCCATTTGCACTGCAGTGTAGATATGTTTTCCTACCTGGGTTTTAGCATGGCGTTACCCGAAGTCAAAAACCTTGACAGAACTTCTTTTATTGAATGCGGAAAACCGTATTCGTCGAACCTGCAGGTCGACAGACAAGTAATAAACTTCTCTTAGAAATTTAAATATTTTACGCTTAAAAGTTTCTCCGAAGTCTATTAAAATATAAAATACCTCTCTAAAAAAGTTATATAAGGAAGAAGAAGTCATTTGGAATTTGACGATGGACAGCCGCCATTTGCACTGCAGTGTGGATATGATTACCTACCCAGGTTTTGGCATGGTGTTGCCCGAAGTCAAAAACCTTGACAGAACTTCCCTTATTGAATACGGAAAACCGGATTCGTCGAACCTGCAGGTCGACAGACAAGTAATAAACTTCTCATAGAAATTTAAATATTTTACGCTTAAAAGTTACTCCGAAATCTATTAAAATATAAAATACCTCTCTAAAAAAGTTATATAAGGAAGAAGAAGTCATTTGGAATTTGACGATGGACAGCCGCCATTTGCACTGCAGTGTGGATATGATTACCTACCCGGGTTTTGGCATGGTGTTGCCCGAAGTCAAAAACCTTGACAGAACTTCCCTTATTGAATACGGAAAACCGGATTCATCGAACCTGCAGGTCGACAGACAAGTAATAAACTTCTCATAGAAATTTAAATTTTTTACGCTTAAAAGTTACTCCGAAATCTATTAAAATATAAAATACCTCTCTAAAAAAGTTATATAAGGAAGAAGAAGTCATTTGGAATTTGACGATGGACAGCCGCCATTTGCACTGCAGTGTGGATATGATTACCTACCCGGGTTTTGGCATGGTGTTGCCCGAAGTCAAAAACCTTGACAGAACTTCTTTTATTGAATGCGGAAAACCGTATTCGTCGAACCTGCAGGTCGACAGACAAGTAATAAACTTCTCTTAGAAATTTAAATATTTTACGCTTAAAAGTTTCTCCGAAGTCTATTAAAATATAAAATACCTCTCTAAAAAAGTTATATAAGGAAGAAGAAGTCATTTGGAATTTGACGATGGACAGCCGCCATTTGCACTGCAGTGTGGATATGATTACCTACCCGGGTTTTGGCATGGTGTTGCCCGAAGTCAAAAACCTTGACAGAACTTCCCTTATTGAATGCGGAAACCCGGATTCGTCCAACCTGCGGGTCGACACACAAGTAATAAACTTCTCTTAGAAATTTACATATTATTTTGTTTTTAACAGTTATATACCTACCCCACCGACCAGAACTTGTAAGTTTAAAATTAATTTTTGAAATTTAACTCTATCGCTGTATTCTTCAAATGTATTTAACAGGTTGTTGGAACGACCTTTTTGACTGGCATCGGAGAAATGGGCAAAGGCCTATTCGCAAAAGTGCGTTACCCAGTTGTGGTCAGTGCAGTAGCTATTGTGCTGCTCTTTGCTAGTATTGTAATACTGGTTATCTTACTCACGGCTATTGCACCTTTCCTACTTATATGGACTTCTTATACACTGTTGCTAAAACTACTGACTATCATGGTACTTCAGCCGCTGTTTCTAGTATGGATAATCGTCAGTGTCATTGTAACTTATATCGTTATTCATTTGAAACTTTCACATATCATATAATGTTATCATACATTAACAATTTTCGCATAACTTATATTATTATTGTACAAACTAATTGTATATACTCCAACCACAGCCATGGTGCGTAACCCGTCTTGGAACACAAAATATATAATTTTGTAAAATAAAATTCTTTTGTATTTCACAAGTTTACTGGTTTGTTTTTTTATGCAAATATATTTTTTAGTAATATCGCATGCTATCGGATCGTTTTTATTAATACCGTTATACAACAGAACATATGTAGTGAAGCTATTTTTAGGTACCGTCGATAATTATTTTTAACTTCAACTCAATACTTTTACTGAAATTTGAAAAAACCGCATTTACATTCGCCCCGCTTAACCCTACCTGTATCACGTGGTGGCGGTTAGGTTAGTATTAAAACCGTACATTAAAAAACATCCTGTCTTGTTTATATTAAAGATTTGAGTAGAAAACAAATCTAAGCGAACAAAACTCGGTTTGTAACTTTTAAAATCGTTGTTTACCCAAAGTAATTGCTTTTGCAGTGTGTGGCACACTATAAATAATAAATGGGCGCATCGACAAAGTTCTGACGCGTTTTTGGGGTTTTTAACGACCGTCTTAAATCACCGACACCCGGCCCGATTGTTCTTAAGTCGGTAAACGGGGCCGTGGACAATGGCCGGTTGTTTGGCGAGCGCTTAATACGAGTTTAAACTTTGCCGTACCGGAAGGGTCGGCAACTAAAATCGGATTTGGCAGAGTCGGTGGGCGATTAAAAATTGAAAACGTCTGGCACAACTTGTGTGTAGTGTACCGCACGCGTAAAATATATCTCTTCCGGATTTATCTTTGTACCTCTACACAGTAGGATGTGTGAAAACAGCGTTCGCAGGAGATGGGGAAAATGTGTCAAAACTTCAAAAGCGTCAAGAGTCGCTAGACCGCGAACCCTTTAGGCGAGACGTTGTTTCCGCGGATGCGGTTTTCGAAAATAGGTTTCAAAACGCGCCCCAAACTCAAATGGCCCAGAAATGTGGCCGCCGAAAATAAAACCACACACGTGGTCACACACTCCTTATATATGTAGATACTGTACATATGTTGTGTGTACGGCGGAACCGTCTTGGATTTAATGGACCGGGTCATGGAAAAGTGTGAACGACGGTCTTGCCCGGTAATTGACGTTAGCGATTGAGATCATTATTGCAATATTAAACTCGGGCGTAACGGCGGCAATTTGACTATTTTTAATTTTGTCAACGATAGAGCGATGGAAATAAAGGCCATTTACAGCACTCTGTAGTACTTTGGTAGTTGATTGGGGCAAAAATTAAAAAAAAAAAGGCATCCCTTCCATTTAAAAATCCAGAAAAATGTACAAACCGTTCAACTCATAACTAGGATGCCCTATACATTTTTAAAATATAGTCAAATTAGTTCCAAATTTATATTCTTTAAACATTTACTACTATTGATAAACGCGTTAGGAAACTAAAAGAAAAATATCATAAATCAAATTTGTATTTTCATCTGTAAACACTGGACCACATTTACTTACTCACTTACTACTAGTGCTGCTACTCACTTCTTCTTCTTCTGCAGTATTCAACCTAATGATATGAATTACATCCTCGATCTTCTATTATCTGACTGATGTACTCATTTAAGTACAATGCTTTCTTACTGTGCTTGGTTTGGACTGTACTTAGATTCGCATCGAAGCGGTTATTTAAAAGTGATTTTACCACTTTAAGCTTAAATAACTACTGTAGACCTGCGACCTACCCGTCCCCATTACGCCCACTCTTTTAATATAATATACTGTAGATCAATACTTTGGTTTATAGCACATTTGGTCAGTGTTCTAGTATCATAACGACTTTGGACAATTATTAAACTTAAATTTCTCTACTATTTTAATTACCACTTTCAACCCTGTCTTCACCAACATGAACTTTGACGCTGTGTTACACAAAACTTTATTGGTTCCATAAGCCGTTTAAGGGGGGCGGCAACGCGATTGGTCCAAACACGGCAAAGTTTTGTGCAACTCAGCACTAGTAATTATTTTGTTTTAGCCCTGCTTTTTATCAGGCACAATTTTTCCAATCAAGCAACGGTAATATTCATAACATAATATTACCGCTGTGAGTATGTTATATTACTGTAATTTGCTTTGCCCGTATTGAATAAAATACAAGGAAACTAAAGATCAACTCGAACCGCGCCTGCCTTGTAAGTTCTATGGTATATATATATATAATAATAGTCGCGTTGACGTGTTGAAGTCCTCTGACGTTTACTTTGAATTTAACGACGGGACAAAACTTT